AAAAAGTCAAGAACCTCCCTGTGATACGTCTTTGGTACCGCCAAAACAATGTCATCAACGTATCTCAGATAAAAGGAGGGAATAAATGAAAGCTTACTGAGAGCATAGTTCTCGAGGTCCTGCAGAACAAGATCGGCAATAACGGGAGAAAGAGGGGAACCCATCGGTGTTCCAAACGTTTGTTTATAGAACTTGTCATTAAAAACAAAAAAGGTTGAATTCAAAACCAAGCGAACTGCCGAGATGAATTCATCGCGAGGTAAAGATGTTCCCTTCTCCAGAAAATGCCATCTGTCCAAAAGACTGTCGACAGCCAACTCCAAAGGCACATTAGTAAACAACGAAATTGCATCCAAAGAAATTAATTCAAAATAGTCCTCAATGTAAATGTCCGAGATTTTATTTACTAACGAAAAACTGTTAGGCACGTGACTTCTGGCCAATGGTGAATTTTTGTAAATAATTTTGTGTAAAAAGGATGCTAAATTATGGAGCGGCGTGCCGACAGACGAAACAATGATTCTGAGAGGATAACCATTCTTATGAATCTTGGGTAAACCGTATGCCCTCGGTAAAATCGCCTTTGTGACATTAAGGTAATTGTATAAGTTTGTAGAAATAAAGTCTCGGTCTCTCCATCTTTTTAACAAAGTTTGTAGACTGTCTAACAGTTTATTAATCGGATTGCGCTTTAACTCGATATAAGTACTGTCATCAGAAAGAAGCGAAGTCATTTTTTTAACATAAATATTCCTGTCTAGTGCAACTACCATATTTCCTTTGTCGGCTTTAGTGAACAAAATATCCTTGTTGTTACTTAAGAACGTTTTTGTGGCTGAAAGAGCAGACAAAATGTCAGAGTTCAAATTAGAACGTTTTTCTTTTTTTATTGAAACCTTGGATAATATAGAGACAAACTGATTTCTAAACTCCATCTTAACTGGAAGAGGGAAACCACGTAAATTATTTTCTAAATATTTGATGAAGTTGATAGTCAACGAATCATTCCATTGTGGAGGTAAACTAAAACCTTCACCTAGTTGTAATAAACTAATAACCTGAGTCGGAATATTAACAGAGGAAAGATTGATAAACCAACCATCACGTGGCGATAAAAAATCCTGATTAATGTTAGTAAAATTCTTTGGAGAGATATTAATTTCTAAAATATTCTCACAGATAGAAGATGGAGGTGTATTAAACGAAAAATCAAATTTGACCTTCTTAGTAGTGTTAGTCACTACTTTATTCCTGGAACGCGACAACATACCTTCTTGTCTCTGGGAATGATCTGTCACCTTACAAAAATATTTAATGCTTTTTATATCAGTTATATCGTGTGAAATTTTTTCGCGTCTCCTCTGCAGCCACAAAAATTTCTT